TAAAAAAAAGGACTCGTAACTGGAAAAACCGAATGAAAAGAGAATTTTAACAACAAATACTTTTTCACACCGACCCAGTTCTTCGGAATCAAAATCAACGTTGAGTTGATGCAAACGAATGAGCCAATTGGAGTAAAGTGCCATGTAGATTAAAATTTTTCCCACTTGTGAAGAATGCAGCTACCGATTTTTTTTTTTTTTTTGCATGCTAGCATGCTAGTTAAAATTCTTGTCAGTCAGCTGTTGGCTCTCACGCTGGCCAATAGAATCTTCCTGCCTATTCGTGGCAGCCAGCTATTGGCTCTCACTCTGGCCAGTAGAAAATGACAGCAAACTACATGACAAATGCCGTAGAAGAATGAATAAATCGATTATTTCCACTATCGATGGGAGTTGGGAAATGCAACGTCGGTCTTGGCCTTCCCACTAACATGGAACATGTGCATGTAAATTTTGGTACAAATCCGTCGAAAATTACACACACACACACACACACACACACATTCTGCTTTTGTAGATAGAGATTTTCTGCAGAATAGATGGCACTTTACAAGAAAACGTTATTGAAACATGACAAGAGACTTCTTGACTGCCAGGCAATTTTGTTCTTCAAACATTTCGATGCTTCGTCATTGTCTTCTTTCTTATAAAATATTATTTTTTATTGTGCTCTCTCTACTTAATAATTTTTCTCGTGTTATTTCACAGTTAATAGAAATACAGTCAAATTATTCCCCACCATTTTTTTTCTTTCTTTTTTTCCTGAAAACTTTCTCGGTGTTCACACCAAGAAAATCATTTGCGGTTATCATTCAAGGACAAAGCTTTTAGTACTTACCGTCTATAGAGTCTGACCGCTTTTGCCTCCTTCAAATTCGTTTTCCGTGGAGAAACATCGAAGTGTACCTAATGTATTTTGCTTCTATTCGTTAATTACGCGTCGTAGATTTTTGCACACTCAAATTCACTTCACATTCGATTTATTACTCGAAGGTTGATTCCATTACCTTTCCAACTACTACATTGGTTACCACACACACACACATGTACAGATATATATATATATATATATATATATATATATATATATATATATATAATAAACTAGAGTTGGAGATTGTTATTTGTTTAACATTAGGTGTTTACTGTGTTTGGGGTCAATAAAGTCATTGTTCAAATGTCAATGATCGATCGCTTTCAACAATGTTTTTGATCCGGAGATATGTAGATATGACGTATTTCCTATACAAAAATACATTTAAAACTGATCGAAGCCGTTAGAGTATATGAGGATGCCATGGGTATGTATTTGACAAGAAATATTCTTGGGTAAATATGTCGTCAGTTGTTAAATAAATTTAATGTATTACGGTAGGACAAGATGCGAAATATATGTTTTTGTATGGACTATAAACATGTCATCTGCATAATGACTATTTTTTAAACAGAAATATTTGAGAACGATCTGCCACTAACCACTGAACGTATATTTAGTTGATTTAAACATACCATTTCTGTAAAGATAAAAAAAGAAACACCATAATTCTTAAATCTGTAATTTTTAATGTAAGATATATTACTTATTTTAATATCTGGGAAATGTTCTAATAGAGTGGGGAAAGTGCTAGACAGATTCGACGACTTACTGGGATAGCGAAACATGTATTCCAAAAGTTAAGCAGTGTATTATTAGACAGAAACACTTCGTTAGTAAAAGAGTATTAAACTGTTACATGATGTCTGTCATCCTCTATAACATTGAATGCAGGATAATCTCCGCAGAGATGAAGAAGAGTCTTTAAACAACAGAAATGTACTTCTAAAGAAAGATTCTAAGGATAACATGGACTGAACATGTGAACAACGACTAAGTTTTAGAGATACTGGAACGAAAAAGAAAAGCTATATGCATAACACCAGGAAGAGGAAATTGAAATTCCTGGGGCAAGTAATAAGACTTGAGGAATTGGCAAGCCTGATACTTACAGGACAGATTGATTAAATGAGGGACAGATGAAAGCAGCACAGAACATACTAAATAGGGTGGAGTAAATTGATAGTAGAACAGGTTTAGGAGGAATAAGAAAAAGGCAAATCATGTTAAGAGCAACAAGAGACAAAATGATGTGACTGGCTATGATCGCCTATGTCCTGAAGGAGCACGACAAATAAATCTTAAAAACTATATATATATATATATATATATATATATATATATATATATATAATTCCACGAAAAACTTTTACATTTAAAGCTCCCCGTATCAAAAATTAAAATTGTAAACCTTGTTTATAGTATTTTTCATATATATATATATATATATATATATATATATATATATATATATAGATAGATAGATAGATAGATAGATAGATAATATTAGTGGTTAATATACACATACATATATGTACATATATCTAAAACAAACAAATATATATATACATACATACACACAGAGACACACAAACACACACACTCTCACACACCAGGTAGAACTCAATGTCCAGGACAGAATATGGATATAATAAAAAGGCTTAAACTCTAGTACTAGTGTTTAAGCATTTTTTATATATATATATATATATATATATATATATATATATATATATATATATATATGATTCATTTTATATATTTAATGCCAGTCACGAATATTTCTTTCGTTGGACTTTAATATAAGAAATATATTTATTTTTTGCATGTATTACTCAGTATCGCTTTTTGCCATTTACGTAAGAATCCTGTATATAGATAGCTTTTTCTCTTTTCATCACTGCTTAGAAACCGGATTATTTTGTGTTTTTTTATGCTCTCTTTAAATTACTTATGTTGAATTTCATCCTAATCGTGTTCTCCATATTGATATCTCCATCGTTTATCTTTTCCTGGTCCATTGTGCCAAATCTTGGCTAATCCCACCACTTAAGTTATAATTATGAGCTCAGTGAACTATATAAACTAATTTAGCGTTATCCAATTACGAATTTTGTTGTGGAGCAATTGAATTCTTTTTCGTATTTCGTGAAATGTCATCTTCGTACATGATAAGAGTTTCGGAAGTAGACTTATGATTATGAGACTTGAAGCCAGAGAGAAGAAAGGTAGACAATGATTTATAGGTGTTTTATGATTGTACTTCATGGCCGACCCGTCACAAAATGTGGGTACAATCAAAGAGTGGGCAATAAGACCTAATAAACAGAATAAGTATTTGGACTGACTGATTCGGAAATAAACCTACGCCAACTATGACACACAAGGCACGCTGTGTTGCAATAGACCTTTCAATACAAACAAGTTATATTTTTTAAAGGTTTCTTTATAACAAAACTTTTGAGACAAATTCATGTAATGCAATATTCACATCGTGCAAGTGACGCTTTTAAGCAACATTTCTCTGTTAAGCTTTAGATGAGAAAGTTGAGGATATGTCTATGGATTTAGATACCTCAAAGACTCTAACCAAGTTTTTGTATAACAGTCTTCTTCACAGGCTCAACGAATATGGTGTCTCTGGCCGATTAAATGTCTCAATCCAAACGTACTAAAATAATTGTGTAATGAATATCACATTGAATGCACCTATTTCTAAATCATTTTAATATTAAGCGACAAAACAAGATTAACTTGTATTAAGAAGAAAATTATGTATTTATATATATTAATATATAAATTGGCAACATCCTTTTCGTTTAAACGTCTTTTACTAAATACGGCAGACAAGTAAGATTTGTTAGTTAATTTGTTGTTATTTTTTCTTCATGTATTGACTAAAATCTAAAATTCTTTATAAATCAGATTAACGTAAACATCTCGCTATTAGAGATGCCTTGTATAACAACATGTCTCTCCTATCAAACTAACATTATTTAACAATGGAAATGGAGTGTTAATTTTTTTTTGTCTTAACAGAAAGATGCTTACGAGAATTCCAGCCGCGCTCAACACGCGAAGGCTCGGAATGAACACTCCTATTCAAAACAACACAAAAATACAATACAACTTAAACAGTCAAAACATGAGGAAAAACTAAACTCCCCTGAAAATGGTTAAAGAATTGACTGAAAGCACTTGGGGCAATTGATATTATGGAAAATTTCGAAACTACCTTACTCATAGAAACCAGAAAAACGCCAGGATGCTGGAAAAAACTAAAAACATAATTAACTCTACCTTGTTCGCCGTATTTAATGATATATATATATATATATATATATATATATATATATATATATATATATATATATGATGTATGATGTGAGGAAAAATGTACATAAACGCGTATTTATTTTAAACAGATAAGATTGTACACACAATTTTGAATCATCATCACGAGAATACGATAGATAACGGTCGGAATCTCCACACCAGAAGATTGCATAAACTGCATGAAACTCCGAGTCGTTATATATATATATATATATATATATATATATATATATATATATATATCCCAAAATAATGTATACACACTTTAATTATTAATAGTTAATAATACATATTTTTATATGGATGAAAATATGCAAAGCAGATGGATTGGAAGAAGATGGACAGTTGAATACCCATCGAGGTCAACAGATTTGACTCCCTTGGTTTTCTTTTTGTGGGGGTTTCTAAAAGACAATGTTTGCAGCAAGAAACCTGAAACAATTGCTAAAATGAGAGTAGGAATTGAAGAAGAATGTGCTCAAATACCAGGGGAAATGATACTGGAGGTTTGTAGGTCTATTTTTCAAGATATGAAAAGTGTATTGAACAGAACGGCAACCATTTTGAGCACTTGATGTAAACTCATCATTATATGAACATTCTGTCTTTGCCCCATGTAGATTTTATCTTATTAAAGTTAATTTTCTACATTTTTTTAATATTTTACTCTCAAATTCTTTAAATATTTATTATTCCTGTTGTATTAAGCTTATTTACAAATCAAAATACATAAATTGAATAAGTTATAACCATTCAAAGAGTGTATATATTATTTTGGGACATCCTGTATCTATGTGTGTGTGTGTGTGTGTGTGTGTGTGTGTGGATAGATAGATAGATAGATAGATAGATAGATAGATAGATAGATAGATAGAGGGAGAGAGAGAGAGAAAGAAAGAGAGAGAGAGGAAGATAGAGTAGAGACAGTTACACGTACACAGGGAAACTATCCTGTAGGGCGGTAGTCAAAATATATTTAAAAGCTTTAACATAATATATATATATATATATATATATATATATATATATATATATATATATATATATATATATATATATATTAGTGTTAGAAGAATGTACGAATCTTCCATGAAACGTAAGAGAATTAAATAAACTAGTAAAAATCACACTGAAATGAAGAAAACAATGAACGGTGTAAAAATAAAATTGCCATTCACATGAAATAAATATCAGGGTAAGCAAAGAAATAAAGATAAAGTATGATCTGTGGAGTCGGCAAACGGGAAAGAGTTCAGAAAGAGAATCCTGAAGTTTAAACCTGGCATATTTGTAATAAAATTGAAGCAGTACATGACGCCATTGTAGTCAAAGTAAGAGAAAGTAAAAAAAAAAAAGAAAAATGTAAGGCGGTAAGATAAAAGATAATCCATATAAAGTCCGAACCCGATCCAGTATAATTTAGAAGCCTGAGAAAGTATTCAACATTCTTATTCAATTATAGGGGCTTATCTAAACAACGTGCAGGCGGTACGTGTGGCATTTTGTTGTCTTCAGGCATCTCTTATCGTCTTCAAATTTACATTGGCCAGCAGCTTCATCAGTGAGGCTTTAATTATATTTTTTATCAGGGTATTAGAACCAGATGCAAGTGTATTTTCTTAAACAAACTATTTTCATTCGTTTTATCATTTCCCATTAGAATATCTGCTTATAACACACAGTCGTAATTGTAATATAAGGAAACATTCGGCATTTATTGACCGATCAGCCAGTGTTACTGTTATTTGTAATTTATAAAAATATTTGTATTAAGACAATTTTTCAGGAAAATAGGTTCGTAAGTCTTATAGTTTTATCAGTCTTTCCAGAAGTGGCTGTGGTTACCTTCCTAACCTTTTGCTTGAAGTAGTGTGGAATGTTAAGTTATACATTATGTTATTATTCACTCTTTGGTTTATAATGAGTTATCCATTTTTTTTGTTGCTCTTGTTTAATAACCTCAAGAGATTTTCATTTTGTTATTTGCTATAGTTTTTATTTGTAATTCTGTGATTCCAGTCCACAAGGTGTCACGATTGACGGACCTCGCTTATATCTACAGTTTTCCTTCTCTCAAAACCATATTTTCCCTTCAAAAGCTGTAGTATACAGCTGAGGGTTTAGATGTTTCTGAGCGTATTTGGTGACATGCATGACATCCATATAAGGAGGCTTTTTTTTATCAAAATGGCTCGAGATCTTATGTTAATGTTTTATTTTTATAACAATATGCATTGTTGGCCGAAAAAAAAGCATAGCCAAATCTACAATTTCTTAATCTTCTCTGCTAAATTTGAATATAACTGATCCATGTACCGACTTTTTTAAGGGGACCATTGTTTTGAATCAGGAATGGCCAAAATTGCTTTATCTGAAATAAACTTGAAATGTATGAAAAACGCGGGCGTAATCATCCCTCCTCCTGTCAAATTAATTTGAATCTTTATTCTAACATTTTTTCCTTCACTGAAGAATATAGCCGCGCAGAAATTTAAAAATGCAATTAGGATATACAATTTTAATATTATTAACATTTTAATTAACGATGTATTTTAATGGTGATGGTAATTAGCCGTTTCCTTATAAAGAAATATCAAACCTTCATTCAGCGTTTAGTCAGTGCTATTTTAGATTGAGATTTATAGAATCTTCCTCTTAATGCATTTTTTTAAGAAAATAGGTTTCACAAGTACAGTGGTTGTTATAGCTCTTGCCAGCAATGGTGTGGGTTTCATTCCTAATAATTTTTTTTAGTAGAATTAGTGTTAATGCCAACTTCTTGATTATGTCATTGTTCTCTCTTCGAGTTACGTTGGCTATCTATTTTAGTTTATATCGTCAATTAAAGTTCTCAAGCGATATGGTGTTTGTTCCTTGGTACTCTTCTTTGTTTAGGATTTTAAAACGCCAGACCCAAACTTCAGGTTTAATACAATAAGTTCGAAGTCAATAACCACCAAATAAAGATATGATTACTTCTTTTTTTTAATTTTGAAATTAATTTTGAATAAATAACTATTCTATATATTCGGATCGAAATTCCAATTGAAGAAGGCCGGAGAGTACAACAGCAGAAATGTCGTGACAATAGAGATGGGGACAACAGCTCGAGCAATGTAAATATTCTAAATAGTTACAATACCTAATCTCACAAATATAGACAGATGTATTCTATACTTTTTATATGCTTGTAAAATTACCTATAACCATTGTTTATTAATAAGTCTTTGTAGCTAATGTTCGTATAAATATTTGCTCATTGTAGTATAATCTGTAATTGAAGGTTATATTTATTAGTCTTCAGGTAAGATATTTTATTTTTATTTTTAAGAGAATTATTATCATGTTTATAGTAATAAGTAGATTAACTGTTTCCATGTACGGCAACATTCGGCGTTCATTAATCGAATAATTGTGACCGGTTGAAATGTAGAAAAATTTAGTCCTCAAATTTTTTTTTTAGGAAAATAGATTTCTTAAGTCCATCGATATCTCTCTCTCTAGGACGGGAGTGTAAAATAGCAACAATTTTAAGTAGGAGGTTATGAAGCTTTATTTGAGTAATTCAGATTTAGCTTTGATAACATTTATTTTATTATAGTGGATTGTTACAAGCGAGTTGGGAGATGGGATGTGCTTATCTTATTATCACAGGAAGTTTCATTGCTAACTTAAAAAAATATATTGTGAAAATCAACATCTTGAATATGTCATTATTTTCTTATTCAGTCACTTGTGACTTGGGCACCTCGAGGCGGTGTAATAGTTAGCAAGCTTGTATCGCCAAAACGATTACGACTGAGTCGTGAGTTCGATCCTCACTGCGTGCCCCCTACTTTCGGCCTTGTGCCACATCTAAGCTACGCTTGGAAAATCACTATATTGGGCACTTCGAGGCGGTTTAATGGTTAACAAGCTTGTTTCGTTAAATAAGTTATGACAGATTAGTGAGTCCGATCCTCACTGGGTGTCCCATACATTTGGCCTAGTGCCACATCTAAGCTATGCTTAGAAAATCAATATAGAAGGTCCTCGGTAGTATAGTGGTGAGTATTCCCCGCCTGTCACACGTGAGACCGGGATTCGATCCCCCGCCGAGGAGCATTTAAACTGTTGGGCACCTCCATGTGGTTTAATGGATTGCAAGCTTGTCTCGCTAGATTAGTTACATCTGAAAAGTGAGTTCGATCCTCACAAGGTGCCCCATGCTCCCAGCCTTGTGCCACATCTAAGCTACGCTTAGAATATAACCAGTCACATGTGACTTCCGTTTTAACTGTTATACCTTTTTTCTTTTTTTTTTAATCATTGATCTAAGAAGACGATTGTATGCAGCTGATAGTTTAGACATTTCTTAACATGTTCGACGCCATATATGACGTCGATATTGTGGTTTTCTAAGCGTAGCATAAATGTGGCACAAGGCCAATAGCGTAGGACATCTAGTGAGTATCGAACCCACTATTAAGTTCGTAACTGATCAAACGAGACAAGCTTAATAGCAATTACACCACGTCGACATGCGTCATGACGTCCATATGAATGTCTGGATATGACGAGGCTTGCAAAGTTGTAAGCTGTACGTCCATCTTTTTCATAAAATCTGCAATCTTCCAGTCACATGAAATCTCTCTATAAGAGTACAATTTATTCGTATTTGGTGCCAGAAGTTATATTCTATTTGTATCATTTGAGAAGCTTACAGCGACTTAGGAGATGCATAATTCCATAGACTCAATGCAATATCTGAGAATATCTAGTTTATTCGATACAAAGGATTATGTTTTATTAAATAAAAATAGCAAAGATCCCCTCGATTTTTTTGCATGCTTATAGTTCTTGTGTTTCTTTGTTAATAATTCAACATAATTCGATGTAGAAAGGGCAGACAACTCCATCGCAATAAATACTCCGTAACTCTTTCAAGCAATCTCATACCCTTTCAAAGAAACATATACAAACGCAGAATAAAACAGTTTTATTTTAAAAGTAAAGAAACAAAAATGCTTATCCAATAGAAATATGAATAATTTCGTTGGATTTAGAATTTGTGCCAAGCTTTATAGCGATTGCAAAATTCAACCTTCAGCACAAAAGAGTCCCACGGAGAGGAACATGTGTTTCATTGTAAGTACGTAAGGACATAGATTTAATAAAACTTTCGATGAAAATAATAAAAACAAACAAGAACATTGCAATATAAACAAAGTATTGGTAACAGAGGAAATAACAATATATACAGAGAGTAGAATTAAAAATGTTTATTTATAAAGATAATCCATACTTTAGTTATTCGAAATGAATGCGAGTCATATTGGAAATAAATGCAAGTCGTATATGTGGAATTCAAAGCGTAAGTGAAAACTTCTAAAAAGAAAAGTAGTTACAGAAATCCGACTGAAGAGAAAGAGTGAAGAAGGAGGATTTTAAGAAGGGAAGGAAACAACAAATATAACGAAGAAAGCAAAATGAATATATGTGTGAGATGAAATTAGAATTTCGTGAAGGAAGAAATAAAAGAATGAAACAGACATAGAAGATGGAAGATAAAGACAAGCGGATGAAAAAAGGATATTTTTATATCAGAAATGCGGAGAAAAGAAAGAAGGGAAAAGTTCCTTAATTATAATGTTAAGCCCCCCCTTTTTTTTAAAAAAAAAAAAGAAATTATTTTTTTTTTTTTTTGAAACAGGAGATGGCATAGAATGAAGAATGGTGAAAAAAAAGTCCATGAATAGAAAGAAATAATGAAAATAATGATATATATATATATATATATATAAGAAATTATGTATGGAAAAAGAAAATATATAAAAAGAATGAAATTGTAAAATATGTAATGCCAGAAGAAAGAAAGAAAGAACGAAACTAATAAATAAATAAAGAACGAACAAACGAAAGAAAAAAAAAAACGAACGAACAAACGAAAGAAAGAAAAAACGAACGAACAAACGAAAGAAAGAAAGAAAAAACGAACGAACAAACGAAAGAAAGAAAAAACGAACGAACAAACGAAAGAAAGAACGAACGAACAAACGAAAGAAAGAACGAACGAACAAACGAAAGAAAGAACGAACGAACAAACGAACGAAAGAACGAACGAAAGAAAGAACGAACGAAAGAAAGAACGAACGAAAGAACGAACAAACGAAAGAACGAACAAACGAAAGAAAGAAAGAACGAACGAACAAACGAAAGAAAGAAAGAACGAACGAACAAACGAAAGAAAGAAAGAACGAATGAACAAACGAAAGAAAGAAAGAACGAATGAACAAACGAAAGAAAGAACGAACGAACAAACGAAAGAAAGAACGAACGAAAGAAAGAAAGAACGAACAAACGAAAGAAAGAAAGAACGAACAAACGAAAGAAAGAAAGAACGAACAAACGAAAGAAAGAAAGAAAGAACGAACAAACGAAAGAACGAACAAACGAAAGAAAGAACAAACGAAAGAAAGAAAGAACAAACGAAAGAAAGAAAGAACAAACGAAAGAAAGAAAGAACAAACGAAAGAAAGAACAAACGAACGAAAGAAAGAACGAACAAACGAACGAAAGAAAGAACGAACAAACGAAAGAAAGAAAGAACGAACAAACGAAAGAAAGAAAGAAAGAACGAACAAACGAAAGAAAGAAAGAACGAACAAACGAAAGAAAGAAAGAAAGAACGAACAAACGAAGAAACGAAAGAAAGAACAAACGAACAAACGAAAGAAAGAACAAACGAAAGAAAGAACAAACGAAAGAAAGAAAGAAAGAAAGAACAAACGAAAGAAAGAAAGAACGAAAGAAAGAACGAACGAACAAACGAAAGAAAGAAAGAACGAACAAACGAAAGAAAGAACAAACGAAAGAAAGAAAGAAAGAAAGAAAGAAAGAAAGAACGAACGAATGAAAGAAAGAATGTAAGAACGAACGAACAAACGAAAGAAAGAAAGAAAGAAAGAACAAACGAAAGAAAGAACAAACGAAAGAAAGAACAAACGAAAGAAAGGAAGAACGAACAAACGAAAGAAAGAAAGAACGGAAGAAAGAACGAAAGAACGAACAAACGAAAGAAAGAAATAAAGAAAGAAAGAAGGAAAGAAAGATAAAAGTAATTAATCAATACTAACGTCAGAAGAAAATAAACAGTAAAAAAAGAAATAAACGTAGATAATTATCCCTAGAAGAAAGAAAAAATAAAAATATAAATAAATATAAAAAAAAACAAAAAACGAAAGGACAGAGAGAAAAGCATAAAGGCAAGATCAGAAGAAATAAAGAAAAAAGAAAGAATAAAATGAAGACAGAAAGATAAAGAAAGAGAAAAAATGAAAAAAGGTATGAAAAAAGAAAGAAAGAAAGAAAGAACGTAGCAAGTGCATAAAATATTGATCAGAAGAAATGAAGAGAGAAAAATAAAGATAGAGGGAAGACAAGAAAGAAAGAAAGAAAGAAAGAACGAAACACGTGCATACCATATTGACCAGAAGAAAAGAAGAAAGATAAAGAAAGAAGGAAAATACGAAAAAAAGGCAAGCAAGAAAGAAATACAGAAAGTAAACGAATCATGTGAATAAAGCTTAGCATAGACAGTTTGATAGCAAGCTCGTCTCTATCGACAATTCTCCAGGAGAGTCAATATATATCGACAGGAAGTTGTCCTATATTGTGACCTTGTGTCAATCCAAATTTCGTAAAAAATCAAATATGAAACTTATTATTAATGACTGAGCGCAGAAAAAAAAAATTACGAAAACAAAATGGAGGGAATTTTTTTCTTAGAGACGCGAGCAAAGATAATAGGGGAAGAATGTTCTAACGTGCGCCATGAACTCTAATACGGGACAAAACCCAAAAAGAAAAAGAGAAAAGAAAAAAATTAAATGAAAACATGCAGATTAAATGATGAAATCGGTCTAGAGAAATTCGTTTTCTGAAAAGACAAAAAAGTAAAATTAATAATTGTAACACATGAATAAATAATAAAGGAAGGAGGACGAAATGCAATCGTCTTGACGAAGTATTATGAAAATGGATTCAGAAATCAACGGGAGAAACACAAAATGAATGAACAAGTACAGATTTTATATAAAATAAGAATTAAGAAAAAGGTTCCTTGCTTTTTTTAATGTGGTCTCTTCTGAGCAAGAAGAAGATGACTTTCAAATATGTTTTCTCTTTATTACTTACAAATTTCCATACAAACTTGCAAAGGAAAATAGTGGTTTCGTTCTTATTTCAACAGAGATGGACAATCAGTGTTTACTTCGTATGAACTGTCTAAAACAAAAGGCTAAATATATCAATCTAAAGTGCTATTTAACACACAGCACCTGGACGGATTCGTGTCTTTCTCAAAGGTAAATAAGTAAACGCAATAGACTAGCCTGGAATTTGAAATGGTCTCATTCATTTTAGATCCTTCGCCCGTATTTGTGACATACTTGAAGGAAAATTATGAACATACAAGATGGTTAGAAAGTCTCGTCACGCCGTACCAAAACATAATGAAAACAATAGAAGAAAAAGTATTACAGTAATATAAATTACATGTACTGGATTCATTTTATTCACTTTAATTGAAGCTGTCACACAACGAGAAGGCCTGTACGAACACCATCACTTTCGTGTAGGACCTCGTATCAACCATCTGAAATAGAAAATTATATTACGTAGGGGTAACAGGACTTGCGGACCAACCTGTATATTTTTATTTAAAAAATGCGTTATATTTTTCGATAAAATTTTAATGCATTTTAAACTTTTCTGAAGATAAAGTGTTCGGGAATTAACAACGCATACCGAATCCATAATTTAGGAGTCAATCAAAGCTAAACCAAGATTGAATGCTAGGAAATTGCGCTAAGAATTAGTTACAAAGAAAACACTCTTCTTGTTGTTTTCAGTGTATCACAGAATTTAACCGTAAAAACCTACAAAATAGCAACTTGTAACTTCTTGCGTGAGGCCCTAGATAACGCTTCAAACACAGCAGCAATAATTTAACCAGAAATGTAAATCTTTCATTTTTGCATGATATTGCTACAACTGATAAAAAAATAAATCGAGAAAGACAAGAGTTACCATAAAATGAGAAAGAAGTGCTAACAGCAAAACCAGGATTCCATCCATAGAATTCCTCGTTTGTGTCTGGTGAAATATGAAATGTGTCGTTGATTGCCATTTGCAAGAAAATGGAATGTCTATCACTGCAAACGTTTATCGCCTGGAACAACATGCATATGCGAAGTATAACGTAGAAATAGGCCAATTTTGGTAATCTTAAAAGGAGTTATTATCCAGCAAGCTAACATTCGGCTAAGGAAAACGAAGAATAAATGAGATCGTAAAAACGGAAAATTCTTCCACTTCTTCCATACACATCAGGTTAAGCACAGGCCGTTTTCGACTTTGTTTCAATCACAAGAATATTTCATAAAAGGCAGAATATTCGGAGCAAAATAGTAAGCTGAAATCAGACTTCCGATTCTTTTCGGGAAAAACTCATATTTTCTTAAACATGAAATCGAAAGTTTTCTGTTTCTGTGGGGACGCAGTCATGGAAAATAGAGATCATTATAATTTTAATAAATAATATTTAAATAAATGTAATATAATGTCGGCTTCAGTCACTTTCATACTACATTAAAATTGCCGCTCTGTTTTTCCTTTGTTTTTTGTTTTTATATATAAATAATTCATGGTAATTGTTCGGATGAGCTCTTCGCTATGGTACGTACATTTTTTTTAAAAATTTAAGCCTAGTAGTAGTCTAGTGTCGAGATCTCATCAATTTACAGGTGAGCTCACTAGACATAATCGTAAGTTCTACGCTAACAGCTTCTTTTCTCGCATTTCTCGCTTGTGGAACATCCCTTCCAGCTCCATGATTTCCAGCCAACTTTATTCTGCACAAACATTTAAATACAATATCAATCGCTATCTAATGTCCTCCTGATTACTCTTTCCTCTTCCAGCTCATTATTAATGATTCGGTTCCGAATTCTTCCCCAGCCTGTAACCCCATCTGTTTTAGCGACTTTACTACCTTGAATGGATTGTTACCGATTAAAGTAAAATACATTTAGATTCATATCTTTTCTGGACAAACTTAATTAATTTCCAATCATCATAACAAGTTTCGTGTGTATAGCATTTTTAACTTACTTGACTGATAATTGATTTTTAGATCACGATTTAAGAAGATGAAAGCCAATTATTTAGAGTCAAACAAAATAGTTTGTATAGCAAAATCAAGGGTATATGTATTTATCTGGCATCATCAAAGTAACGTATATATCACTCAGTGAAGAGTGAGATTATCTCAATGAATAAAACGATGTTTAGTAATCATTGCTAGTGTTGTGGGTTTCGTCCTTGTTACAATGACTCAAGGTCAGCTTAAGCTGGACTGACAGAAACATCTCATTCAGCGCTAAGATCAGAGTGATTCGTTTGCTGGTCATCTCCGTGTTCTGACAGTGGATATAGAGATGACGATGCAAGCCACAGAGAAGAGATTCTATTCAGAGCTCCAAGGCATCTCCTATAAAGATCATATCAGCAGCACAAAAGTCAGGGACAAATTCAGGTAAGCCGTCGGGAGATATGAAGATTTCCTAACCGCAGTCAAGAGACGCAAATTTATTCGTTTGGACACGTCTCAAGATCAGTAGAAATTGCCAAGAAAATCCTGCGAAGCACGGTTCAAGGAAAGGTTGAAGAGATACATTGAGAGAGAAAGATAGAGAACAATATCCTAGAAAAGACAGGAATGACGGATCGAAGCTCTGAAAAAATTGAGTGAGTCGTTTGCCAAATCATCAAAGTAGCAAAATTATGTATGACGGACATTTTAATAGGTTTTAAAGATTTCTTTTATATTTTACAGAATATCTATCTATCTATCTATCTATATATATATATATATATATATATATATATATATATATATATGTATATCAGAGACAGAGCGTATGTAAATAATCATTATTGTTATGTTCGTGTATTGTTTAATTTATTGTATGTAAGCCGAAAGCTTAGATAGGATTAAAAAATATGTATCACTAGGGTGATTTTCTTTCGTCGTTCAATGATAATTTTATTAAACTTATCAGACGATATGAAAGCTATTTACATAAAATAAATAGACAAAACTAGTCTATATTATTTAATGAAACACGCATCAATATATATATATATATATATATATATATATATATATACACACACACACACACATATATATATATATATATATATATATATATATATATATTAAATAAAAACAGACCACTTTAAGGTTCCATGTAATAATTATTTCACCACAGCCCTTTTAAAGGACTGCGGACCATCAGACTTTACTTCCAAACAAAAATGAAAAGAAAATTTACACATTTTTGACGGGCCGTATTAAACATATGTAAAATAACGAAGTGAGGAAGTGAGTGGGGGAGAAAAGAAGACAGTGTGTTAGCAGATATTGACACATTTGGATTTTATCCTCCTTAGGTTTACCCATATGGATTACCTAGTTTTTCATAAACTATATATATATATATATATATATATATATATATATATATATATATATATATATATATATATATATATATTGTGTAATCGCAAGTTCTATTATAATATTTTTACTTCCTTTCTAAATACTTCTCGCCTCTGGAAATCTCTGACAGTTTCTTACTTTCTTGCTAACTACAATCTTCAAGCATTTAAATGCAACCTCAGTCGCTATTTTCTGGAATTCTGTATTTTACTGAGATTTTTCCCCATAAAAGTTTTATTAAATAAAATCGTAAGCAGAACGACGATTTTGTTCAATTTTATAATAATTTTGAAATCTCTCTCTCTCTCTCTTATTCTCTGTGTGTATGCGATTGTTTTAAATTTTTGCAGGCGCAATATTTTGCGTACGGAAGATATTAACAAAGTAAATTGGTTTTCATTTTAACATATGCCGAATCTGGGGATGAGAAACCAATCTATCCACACGCTTAGTCGAAAGGAATATGGCACTAAGCCCTGTTTCAAAAGAGAATTCCTCGCATACATGTGATTAGTGATAAAAATTGCTCATTTTCTCTCAGCATTTCCCTTTTGGGACGCCTCGGGAAACAGGGTTTGACCCCCAACCTTCCTTCTGGGAGGTACTTGGGAGAAGTGTTGCCGGAAGGGATTACATCCTCGAGCAGCGGGAATTACACTGAGAAATAACCCGAAGCACGAATGTTTAGGGCTTTAAAAGAAAGTTCAAAGATTGTATTCTCTCTTCATATATTATAGTGCAACGTTCAGGCTGTTGAGACAAATCAGTTCCTTTAACAACGAATTGCACAATAGTAAATAAAATCTATCATATTTTTGATTGAATCCCAGCTTTGTATTTTGTGCATATAGTAACATATCTGATATTTTTAAACGCCTCATTTTGTTACGTAATTAATCAGTTATTTAGAACTCTAATTGTTTCAAAGTTTAACGTCAACTAACTCTTTCCTTTTTACATCACATATATATTATGGCAATTTGGTGTCATTTTAAAATTATTTCGAACTGTTTTCACTCTGATACATTCCTTTATAAAATAAAGAATATACAGTAGACCTTGAGAATGTTCAAAATAAACAAGCGCACATTTTGAAAAATTGATGGGCATTAAACAGGCTGTAAATGGTCATTCAGTTATGTCCCATGCGTGATACACGCTGAGGCAATCATGTGTCTTTCGATACATGACTGGAGAGGCAGATTTTTCCCCGCAGTAGATTGCCATTTCTCTCTGCGGTAGACCAGTTGCGATTCAAGGCCACAGAACCCGGTCTGTCCTGCTATTTACCATAACTGGAGGGGGAGAAGAGGAAGATTTATACCTTTCCCAAGCGTATTAACACGTAAGTGAATGTAATGGCTCCGACTGGAATTCGAAATCGGCTCTCCGATTCCTCAATAAAAGCAGCTATCTATTACTCCACCGTGAAAATGTTAATTACCCAAGCACGTTCGCATACACTTTCACCTTATTGAATAATTTGAATATCACAGCGTCTATAATAACGATTATGCAGAAGTAAATATGTATGTAGGGTTAGGCTATTTAATAGCATATGATTCTATTTTTTTACCGTGGCTGAGGATGGTTTTTAACTGTTAAATGCTGATGTTTAATTGACTGAAGCAGACATCTTAATAAACCATCTCTTTGACGCAGTATTAGGACATATCAAGGCGACACAAAGCCTGGATGAATAAATTGAAGAAAAAGAAATGAAAATGAAGGAAATATATCAATGAATAAAAATATAGGAAACGGAAGATAGGTTTGAAAGGAATGTAAGAAATAAAAAAAAGCAAGCTGGAAAGAATAAGATGAGAGTTGAGAGAAAAAAGTTGTATGAAAAAAAAAAAGAAAAAGAGAAAATGGGAAACATAGGAAGATACCTGCTGTAGATCACTGCTTGTCACTCTAGTTTCACTAGATATTTTTACTCTCATGATTTCACGAATTTGTAAATACTCTATTTAAAATTGGATTCAGCTAAAATAAGTTTGAGAAACATCATGTGAAAGATTGTAATGAAAGTAAGAACAAAAGAAAAGAAATATTTATAAATGAGAATCCAAAATGGCAGAAAATCAGAAAAAAGTATACAATCCCTAAATAAAATCGGACCCAAGATAAGAAGAAGAATTTTGGAAAAGTGTGAATGGAATGAAAATAAAAAATAAATAAAAAATAAATATTATACATGATAAAAATCGCTAATTTAAGTAAAAACATTGATAATCTCGTTCGACAGAAGTAAATGAGGGTCGAAATTTGAAATTGAACGAGGAAAATAGGAAAGGGAATCGAAAAGAAATATGAATTCTTGAAGGAAGATCAAACATAATTTCTTTACAATTTTATTCAATTTTCCTATTTTCCGTTTCAATTTTAAATCTGAAAAGTAAATGAATGCTTTGAATTACGTTTTATAAAGATGAGAGGAATGAAACTGTAATCTTCTTTTCTTTCGATGGAGTATTTTAATCGTAAAACGAATACAACAATTCCATTAATAATAATAATAATAATAATAATAATAATAATAATAATAATAATAATAATAATTTGAGTTTTAATTCTGTTACTTCCAAATCGTTAAGAATCTCTTGTTACACATTCTATTTTGTGTGCATAATATGCATATGGCATGTTTTTGAGGATTTTCCAAACGTGGGATTTCAAAAGTGGGATTACGAACGTGGGATTCTGAACTTGAGATTGGCTACATGTTATCCACTCTATCCTTCCATCTAACAATTTCTTTATCTTTTCTTCTGAGGATCTTTCCTCTTTAGTATCTAGACTTTATAAATTTAAGTTTGCTGCTAGATTGGTGACAAATTCGCATCATATTACACTTGAAATGTTTAGATATATCCGTAATTTCTATGCTAACAGCTTCCTCTCTCTCACTTCTCGCTTGAGGAACACTCTTTCGGGTTCTTGTTTTCTAGCTAATTTTGATCTCCAAAATTACTCTTCCAGTTAACGGAAAATGAATGAACAGCAACAATAACAACAACAACAATAATAATAATTATAATAATAATAATAATAATAATAATAATAATAATAATAAGAAGAAGAAGAAGAAGAAGAAGAAGAAGAAGAAGAAGACGAAAATCTTAAAGACTATCAAAATTCTAGGATCTTGAAAAGGAATTTTTAAAAAATTCCTTTTCAAAATCACATAAGGACAACAAATATTCCTGTTGTCATTGGAGCCCTCGGATTGATTAGAAAAGGGTCCGAATCATGGAAGGGATTACTGGTAGCCCATGTCTTAAATAAATACAAAAAAATGTACTCAAAAGTACCGATCACAGATTGCGAAGAGCTTTATCTATGTAAAATGTGTAAAATCTTTTTATTTTTTTTATTTTTTTTTACAAATATAATCAATGGAAATGTCATGGAGCTATTTCTGGCCTTAAGTCTCTGGTTGGGTACCGAAAGGAAATCAATATACAATAGAAATCAAAAGTAATAATAATAATATTAATAATAATAATAGTATGGCCAAATTTTATGACCGCTTCTTTTAATATAATGATAAAATAGTACTATTACTACAACTGCTACTTATTATTTCCATACAATCCATTGAGCCGACATTCCATGTTCTATTATAATAAAATAATACTACTTCTATTACTATAGAAATATACGACTTTTAATTTTGTAGCGTCATATGGCGCAGAGATAAAAATATGGAAGAAACAAACAGTTGTATTGATTTAACCAACCTTAATAATTAATTCTACATATATATATATATATATATATATATATATATATATATATATATATATATATATATATATATATATATATATATACTTGAGCACTGACTTGAGACATCTTGGAAATATCAAAACTTACAGCCACTCAAGAGAAATTGCAAACGCTTAAACTGTGGACAGTTCATTGAGTCGAATGAGTATTCGTTCTATTATTTCCAAAAACGATCTTCCTGTCTTAACAAAGGATTGTTATGCCTTTTGTATAACAGTTTCAATGTTGTGTGTATCTACTTTTAAGGATGATGTCATTGGCAAATATGGCATCATTTTGAGGATCTTCCAAACGTGGGATTCGCTACATATTATTCTGGTATTTATCCTTCCATCTTAGGATTGCCTTATCTTACATGTGATCTGACTAACTCTACGCCTGATGGCTGCCGCGGTCAAACAATTCACTGTCATTCACAAGAGGGCAAGCGTACTTTTAAGGCTGCACATCCTGTTTTTCTCTTCTTTATTTCACGGTATTAAAACAGAACCCGTTAACA